TCTATCACTGTTCTATATACTCTTAAGCTTGATAAGACAGTCATTCAATATTCAGAGCTGTGTGTAGAAATCTTCATAAGTCTGATCTTTGTCTACACTTATAAGAGTCTATAAGAGTTTGAAAGTTAATGTCTTTTTGAGCATGCTAATCTTCATTCAATCTTCTCAAGATTGATTATCTGCTTCTAGAATCTTAGTTTTGCAGTCAGGAATAAATATTGTGAGAGAAGTGTTTCTCTGTCAAATACTCTGTAATTAATCTAATACTTTCTATTATATAGCAGTGTCTTGAAACAGAATATCAAGATATTTAATGATATTATCAGGCATTCATAATACTGATTCACATACTTTCATTCATGAATGAAACTTCTGTTTCATGTGATTCTTCAATTATTCATTAATATATCAATCTTGATTGATTAACACACTGATGAAATCTTTATCTACACTCAGTTTCATGAGCATTTCCATTCTTCATAATAAGTAGAGAGTGAGATTGAAAGTATTAAAATATACAGAAGCATCTAAGTATTCTTTTAATACTTTTATATTCAATTCTGTAGATGTTGAAATTGCATAAGTTAATTATTGAATCTCTTCATATTGAAGTTGTTGAATTGCATGCATATCAGCTATTTATTATTGTTGTAATTTCAACATTACTTGAAGTCACTGTGGCATCATATCTATGCTTATATTCAAGAGTTTCATATTATTGTTAGACATGATTATATCAATTGTCAGATATGTAATTATATAAACCTCTCATATGTCTGAGTGTCAGAACTCTCAGGTCTTTCACTGACATTCTCTTTATAAAATCTTATTACAGAGTCAGAGTAACTGGTAAGTAAGCTTCTATCTGAGAACTCAGTGTCTGCTTAACTATTTAACTGTTTCTCTATTTCTTACATATTGTTATATGTTCAGATATCTCTTGATAAATAATTGTTTCTAATGAGAAGATGATGTGTAAATAATTATTTTCTAATAAGAAGATAATGAATGTTTTTATAGTATAAGAGGTCTATGCTGAATAGATCAGTATTATATTGATAGATCTTATTTAACAAAGATAAAAATATTAGAGAAGAAAAGAAAGAGAAAGTGTGAGAATCAGTGATTGAGATGAATATTTATACATGTATGTAGTAGTGTATGTGATGGAGCTTCAGGGCGGAAGAATATACGCGCGTTCGTAGCAGCTGAGAATCAGCGATTGAGAATGGCTGAGAATTAAAGCATACATGTTCAAGAATGAAGTGGTTGAAATCTGTGAAGTGTAACAGAATAGTCTATATGATTGATCAGGCGCAGCCCGTCACATGCATTTTATAAAAGATTTTTATATTTTAAGCTGAAATTTTCTGATTTTGCATTTCTGAAATTGATAAATATATAATAGTTAGCTTTATAAATACTAGAAAAACTCTGAGAATTAAAAGTTTTTAAATAGATGTTATAGTCTCTGACTGTATATATTTATAATAAAAGAATAATAATAATAACAGATGTAAAATCATACTGTGAAAGCTATTACAAGTATAATTATATATGATTAAAAATTACATAACATACAAACTCTGTCAAAATAAATGTGAACTAGTACATTATATTGTAACAAGTAGACTGGCCGCTGAGATCATGAATTTCATGTTTGGTTTCATTTAGTCTGATCTCATACATTTCTTGACGTGAATCCTGCTGGGACTAGTCATTAAATAAATATATAAAGTGACTATATATCAGATCTCAAAATGAAACCATGACTTGAAAAAAATGAGAAAGTGATCTCATTTGATTCCATTTAGTTCTATTCTTGACATAAAGTTACTATTTTTAGACATTTTAAGGTTTTTTTTAGACTATTTTTAATTTTTTAAACAGTAACACTTTTTAATAACACTCAAATAAGATTTAAAGTCATTTAAAGCAATAAAAATAATTTAAATTGAGAAGTGAAAATCATGATCTTATTTGAAAAATGTGATAAGAGTAGACAGTAAGTCTCACTGAGATAGTATAAAACTACTATCTAATGTTAGAACTGTGTAATGAGATCTGTTGAATTGATAATAAGACTATCAAAAATTCTGATTCTGGTTTCAGACACGGTCACACGGTCAGTCTAGTAACAAGCACACACACACACAATGCAGTATTTATCATGAAATACAGAAATTGAAAGCAAAATAACTGTCATTTAGTGATAAAAAAGAAACAGAATATAATATACTTAAAATTCAGAAAAACAGACATCATTTCAAAACAGATAATAAGTAGAAAGTAAGTAAAAAAAAGATTTTTTCAATAGAAAAAAGCAGATAAATTTCTTATAATAATATAATTAGAAAAGTAAACACAAAGAAAACACTTATTATATAAGAAATTTTTTTATTATATAGACTTACTATATCTAATAACACAGTTATAATTATTTTATACATATAATAAACACTGCAGAATCATCTGTAAATAATTATATTATCTATCAATTAATATATCTCTCTCTTAATTAATTATTATTTAAGTATACTTTTATATTGTTATAAGTATTAACAAAGACTTTTTATATTATTTTAAACAGTAATTGTCTTTTATTCTCATTATATTAAATACTATTCAACACTTATAATAATTACTATATATATAATCTTGTAAGAGGCCTACGCTGAATAGATTAGTATAATAAATAGAACTTATATAACAAAGAGAAAAATGTTAGAGAAGAAAAAGACAGAGAAAGTATAAGAATCAGTGATTGAAGTGAATATTTATACATGTATGTAATGATGTACATAGTGAGACTTCAGAGCAGAAGAATATATACATGTTTATAACAGCTGAGAATCAGTAATCAAGAATGGCTGAGAATCAGAGTGTATGTGTTCATGACAGCTGAGAATTAGCAATTGAGAATGACTGAGAATTGAAGTGTACATGTTTGAGAATGAAGCAGTTGAAATCTGTGAAGTGTAATAAAATAGTCTATATAATTGATCGGGCGCAGCCCGCTACAAATCTACATATAAATAATCATTATACAGATCACTGAAAACAGCTTTTAAGAAAGAAAAAAGTAATTATAATATCAGATATTAACTGAAATTTATTTCTAATGTATTTAAATCTGTGTTAAAATTTATATCTAAGCAAATCATATATATTTATAAATTAACACTGAAAAAGTCTGAGAGAATACTTTTTTTCTGTTTTCTTCTTCAGTAATTAACTCTATTTACATCTATAATATACTTTTTACCTGTTTTTTCTTACATACTATTAGTTCTTCAAACTATTCATTTTCATCTCATATTTAGTAAGATATAAAAATTGACAATATAAATAATTATAGGTTTTTTCAGACTAAATACTTTCAGAGAACAAAGTTATCAAAGCTCAAAATAAAGCTGTTTTTAAACAGAAAAACTATAAAATAATTATTATACTTATTAACTATATTAAAGCTTCTGAGTAGTGCTGAGCAGCTTTTCACTCTTTTTATACGAATTTAATTTACTTTATAATATTATTTTTATATAAGATATAATAAGAATAGAATATATAAAGAGAAAACTTTACTTTTATACAGAGTCAGTAAATTTTCTTCTATAAAATAATAAAATACTACTTTGATAATTTCTTAGTTATTTCTAAAAGAGAGAATGAAATAGTATCATTTTCTCTATTTATATAAGAATTCTTTAACTGTGTAAACTAGTATGTATAAAGTTTTTTCTTTAAAATATATAGATTATTTTATATAGACTGATTTTAAGTTTTCTATACAAATATATTATAATAATATTCATTTACTGTAAAATTCAATTATATTTTACAGTATTTTTAATACAGTGTTCATTGAGTGTTATCAAAAATTATTACTTTTTCATATCAATAAATATCAAGAATGAGATTAGATGAGATTAAATGAAATCACTTTCTTATTTTTTTTCAATTTATAATCACATTTTAGGTTTTAACTTGTGGTTACTTTCTATATTTCTCTACACAAACATCAGCTCATCAACAGGAGCACAGCCCCTTCAACTACGGCTTTTGGTCGGCCTATATAGACAAGTTTTCCTTGCAGCGATGCATCATTTTTACCCTCTCATCACTGGATTTACACCCCTAAAGATGCATAAAGTACCGCCAAATACACTCAACATGTCAATGCAGGACTCCGGGCAGTTATAAAGTCAGTTTGTTCAGCTAGCAATATCTTAGTTTTTCCATCCATTAGCTTTCCATAGGACTTCCAGAATGGCACCGGTTCCCGAAACCAGCCCCGTGCCGAGCGCGACGGACCCTGCGCAAAGTACCTATCCTTCACTGACTACAGATATTGAGGGAAAATGGTCACTAGATGTGGAATGGCAGACGGCACGTCATTCCTCTTGAACAGAGATATCTTTATCTTGATAATATCTGTATGCCGGCCAGTGATCCAGCGCGAAGGGATCTGACATCCTTCACTGTCAAGTAAGACATCTTTCTTGCATTCTTTCCGCCCTTTTCTGAAGAAGGGCTGAGTGGGTAGCACCCAATAGATGGAAACACTTCAAGCCTGCCAGAGGAGGCAGGTGTGCCGCTGGGTGAACCACCTGGTACCATAAATTCAGAAAAAAACAGAAACAGAAAAATTAGACAGCATTAGCAAGAGAAAATATCTCTTCGGCAACCGGGTCCCATGCACGAGTTGCTACATGTTAAGATGTTGTGTTGCCGAGGTCAAAAATTTCCCACAATCACGATAAGGCTTTAGAAAAGTCTATCCGCCTCAGAAGAACAGTCTGAAGATGGTCTTTCGGCGCATAGATATTGCAATAGCGGAACTGCCGTGCTTGGGGGTGGAATCTATCACTGTTCAAACAATCTGGACACTCTAGGCCAGTTGGGCTACAACACGGGAACTGTTCTGGGGATAGAATGTCTTTAGCCTGGGCTTCTGGTTTAAGTGTTGAGGCCAGTGCTGGGCTTTGGAGTGTTTGTAACTACTCTAATAACTGGAGTGCATTGTTGTAGTCAAGTGTGGCGCCACCCCATTGGCAACTGAGTCCCATGCGCAGTTGTGAAATGGCAGAGGATTGTTCCGCGGAGGTCAGAAGTTTCCCACAATCAAGATATGAACACCGTATTGCCTTGGAAAAGTCCATATGTTGCAGATGGGTCTTCTCTTTATGGCGTCTCAGCACATACTTGTTGCAGTAGCTGAATTGCTGTGCTTGCGGATGGAAACTGTCATGGTTTAGACATAGTGGGCATTCCAGACCACTCGGGCTCCACTTATCATTGGACAAAATGTCTTCAGCGAGGGCTTTTGGTCTTGAGGCAAGGTGCCTAGGAATGGTCAGGCGGCTTAAAGTTAGGCGAAGGTCTAGGGACTTTATACGATCTTCCATAAGCTCTTCATCGGGAACAGTGTTCACATCACGATTCTGGAACTCAATTGCGACCAAGGCTTTCCGTTTAGGCAGAATGAGGAGGTGCCAGGGTTGTATGGACAACCCTCCCCGCTGTAGTTCATCTCAATGATGATATCGCCGATATTGTCAAAGTGATCTTGGTAGGCTTTGTCCCCTGTCTCTTTCAGCAGTAGCCTGCGTGTGGTTCGGACTTTGTTGCATCGCTGTCGATAGTCCTGGAGTATGGTCATGTCCTTTATTTTACTTAGTGTACCATATTCTGTAATCAATGCGTCCCGAAACTCTATGCAGTCTCTCTCAAGTGCCATCAGGTTTGGGCCTCCTTCAACACTCCGCCTCTGAGCGGGTGTCAGGCCGCGTGGTGCTGATGGATCACGAGTGATGCTTGAGTTGGTGGAGAGCCTGATCATAGCATCTGGTGGGGGTTCCCAGGAAAACAGATTGCGTGTCGGTGTCCACTAGTTCATTAATGTAGGCTAAGAAGATATTGCCTCTAGAGTGCCCCATAATCTGCATCCGTCTTTCGGGTGTCAAGTCTGCAGATAAACATTAGTCATCTGTCTGCAGTCTAAACATATGTATGGTTGATGTAGACTAACCTGCTATAGCGGCTGCATTACTTTTCCGATATTTGTAAGGACTTCCATTGTCCGCCGCGCCCCAAGCTCTATCGAGCCTGCGTTCATCTTCACAGAACTGTGTATAGGTAAGAGGTTCTGTGGGGTGGGTGATCCAGTTCCCCTCTTTATCTCGAGTTGTAGATTGGAATATCGGTATACGCTCCATTTCTTTCTTGAAATGGATTGGCACACTCTTCCTGTGAGCAGGAACATCAGATATCTTGGGCTTCTTGGATCCTGTTGCTGCTGAAGGCGTCATCTTCAAAGGCAAACTGGAAGACGTCCTGGATTACACCCAATCCGAGGTTGTCGTTGCGTTCAAGTAGGAGAATCTCGGCCTAGCGACGACTTGTTTAGGTAAAGTTTTCATGGACAGGAGATGGTATGTACGCTCTTCCCTTGTTCCTTTTACCCTTATTGAGTCGGTGCCGCACTCTCATAAGGAGAACCTTGCAGTTAGGGCGCTCGGGGTCAATAACAATGAACAGCTCAGTGTCCCCCCAGCAGAGTGCATCTTTCTTCTTCTTGCAGCACCCGGAAGCCCAAAGCAGAGTTCCTGGCCGTGCGCTCGTGGAGGTCATCATCTTGCGCACAGTCTCATGTTGTGTCCTTTGCCATTCAGTTGGAAAGTACACATCTGAGATGGCGAGATCAAAGTACAGCTTGCTAAGAAGGTCGTCCGCATTGACTGGAGGCTAAAATCTTTTGGTCTCACTAAGGCCGTACTCTTCCTTAAGTTGTCCACATATTAACTGGAAAAATTGTTAGCAATGATCAACAGAATAAGTAAGGGTTTAAACACATGCATTCTTTGTTTATTGCTTCAGGGTCTAGGGGAACTCATGACCCAACATATAACAATAGTGCAGTCTGAAGAATCGAGCTTTGACAAGGAAGCCATCCAAAGATACAACATTGTGACTCTCGAGGTACCACCGTAGAAAATGCCTGCGAACGCTCAACTCCACATTTTTAAGCGAGTGATGAGGGTCGGCCGGTTCCAATACTTGGACAAACCTGTCAGGCTAAAGCAGCCTTCAAGGTGAGACTATGCTGATCAGGGGGATGTACCGATGGAAACTCTTTGCCACAGTCGCTATGGCACACATTGTTGACTCCTCGAAGACTGGCTTTGGTGGCTCTCTTGACCTATTGATCATATCCATCCAGTGATGGAGCTGGAGGCTTGCGCTTGGTGGGAATACCCATGGTAAAAGACAATCCGGAGAGCTTAAGACAAATAAGTGAGCACCAAAAGAGATGAGTAAGAAAGAAAGCGACTCGTGCCGCACCAGAAGTGCAGCACGAACTTATAACTATACCCTAATCATCGTAGATTGGTCGCAAGCTATTTCTGGAGGAGACGATGAGCCTCGAAGTGAGCTCGCGAACAGTGATGTGATGGCGATGATCTAAAAGCAGCACTGGCAAAAAAAAAAAAGGCCACTAAAACGTGCCGTGGCATTTTAAGTGACATCCCCCAGATACTCCGTACACTCAATTGATCAAGCTCTTTGAGAAAACATATGTTCAGGAAAATGTAAAACTCTTGGGTGCGAGATGGGAATGCGTCAATGTTACTTGAAGTAAGAAGTACTGCAGCCCAAGTGCTTGCTGACCATGTCCACCTTCGATGGCATTGTTGAAGGTTAGGAAGCCCCTGCCTGTCGTCAGTTTGATATTTGCTAAAAAGAACATCACAGAATTCCCTCAAATTCGAAGTAAAGAGTTCCATCTTGATGTCTTTCGGATTGATTGGATAATCAATATATATTGACTTTCGGATGCTTGATTGAGTAGTTGATTACTTTCGAAAAAACCCTGATCGGCCAGCTCCACTGGCATGCTTTCTCAGCCATGTTCACAGCGACCATCTTCAGGGCCTCGAGTCACTGAGAGCACCGTTCATATACTGCTCAGCTGCTACGCGAGAGGTAGAGTAACCCACGTCTTCCCGTACTGGCTGAACACCTATCACTAACTCTAGTCCGGTCCGCTCCTAGATCCTTCTCCGCCTTGAGAAGTACCCCCATCGCATAAATTTTAGCAAGGGGATCTTGGAGTCAAGGAAGAAGCACTACAAACACCTATCTAAACTATTGGTATGCATGGCCTCTCCATGCGTGACCTTGGATACACAAGGGGCTTGCGATTAACACAAGTGTCGTCTAGCGTCCCATTCCGCTGCAAGTTCCAACGGAGATCGAGCTGAGCCCGAGAAATAATGTTCGAGTCACTCTCTTCGATGCTAACCATTGTCCTGGGGCTGTTATGTTCCTCATAGAGGGGAATAGGAAAGCCATCCTGTATACCGGCGATATTCGAGGTAAGTCTTCCGTATAGCTGACACTTTTATGTCACCTGGGTTTGCATATTTTATTACAATCGAACATAACCGAGATTACGCCTCCTATTTTTGTTTGTTTTTCGTTACCGCGGGTAATAATTATTTTATTTTATCTCATAGCGGAATCTTGGTGGGTGGATAACCTTATCAGGCACCCTGTCCTCATTCCATATACCCTTGGAAGCAAGCGGCTTGATAAGATCTATCTCGATACCACCTTCGCTACGAAATCCAACGTGTATCAATCCTTTCCCTCAAAAGCAGAAGGAATCAGAGAACTTTTAGAGAAGATACAGACCTATCCAGATAGCACTCTATTCTATCTACGCGTGTGGACCTTTGGCTATGAAGATGTCTGGCTAGCGTTGTCAGCCGCGCTTAACACCCGGGTAAAAAACACGATTTCATTTACGTTGACTTAAGAGTTGAAGCTAACGAATGGAGCTAGATCCATGTTGACGAATATCAGATGGGCGTGTACCGATCTCTAACGACACGGGTTACGAATGGCTTTGGTGTTGATGAAGCACCATTCCTTTGCGGATTCCAGCTCGGCAATACACAAATTCCTGGCTGCTTGACTGTCGATCATGGAGCTAGAATCCATAGTTGCGAACCTGGTATGGTCTGCTCATCCATTTCCAAAGGCCCTTCCGTATATATTACTCCCATTGTATCACGTATGGATGACGGCTCCGAGATTCCTGAACTGGGCGCTGGTGGCGGACAAGGCGACCTTTACCAAAGCCATGAACTGGAGCTACAAGATGATTTTGCATTTCAGCAGCTTTTAAACGTATGCTCTGAACGTATTCAGGACGAGGAAATCCGAGCGTCGATAATAGCTGCTTTGTCAGAAGCACGTAATTCGAACTCGAAATCGTTGTCACTTGATGCCTATGGTATAAAGGAAGATGATGAGATCTCAGTCCAGCAACTCGTGAGTATTCTAAGTCGAGGACCACCAGCAGAGAACCTATCGAATCCCTCCGCCGCCAATTTACCCAAATTTGGACAGGGACAACCTGGACGTAACCTTCCAAACACAATAGTAAGAAACGAACCCGACCCCATTTTATTGTCCTTTGACTTCATCAATCCAATTCAATTTTATTTATTTTTCTGGGTATCTTAAAGTAACATATGAACAGCGTTTTCCCTATTCCCGTCACTCCTCCTACGCCGAACTCTGCAATTTCGTCAAAGCCTTCAAACCACAGGATATCTTCCCTTGCACGGTAGACCCTGCGACCTGGAATGAAGACGTGTCCATGTGCACGTTATTTGGCCACCTATGTTCTGGCGCCAATTTTGCCCACGACGAGCTCATGAGAAGGACTATCAAGCAGGCGGAACACCGACCGCAGAAGCGGAGACGGATAAGAAGCGATTCCTCATCCTCGATAAATTCAACACAGCAGTCGGATTCGGATATACTGCTCATTCAAGAGACCGAACTGCCTCCAGTCATCCCAATAGCTGCAATCCACGAAAGTAAACACGATTCCAATTCGGACCGTTTGCCAGAATTGCAGATTCAAGAAGCTGATCTTTGTCCCGCAGCTGCGCGACGCGTCTGCCAGCAGACATCACAAAACATAAACCTAGAATCGCGCAACGATATGACCTCGCAAATGTCATCCGTGAACTCCCAACTGATCGCAATAAAACATGCTCTGAAAGAAAAACACCTAAACCATGAACTGGAATTCCACCTACCATCGTCACTTTCAGACTTTGGAACTGAGATTGATGATTCTTCACAGCGAACCTCAAATGCCCAAGCTCAAGCCCAAGCCCAATCCCAGTCTCAAAACCTCAGCACATCCCTTTCCCTCCACTTTTCTCAGCAACACACGACCCAGGGTGGTAATAACAGTCAAACATCCACCGGCGCCAATAACAATAACCGTAACTACAACGACGACGACGACGACGACAGCCAAGCTGATAGCCCCGAAACCCACCTCTCACTCTTCCAATCCGCCTTTGATCTCGAACAAACCACCACAGCAGACTCCAGCACGACAAGTGAAAGAAGGAAACGTCGCATCGCCGCGTACCGCGCGGCTCGGGTAGGCACGTACGAGGCATGGTCTAGCATCCACTCGCTTGTCAGCGCGGGCAATAATCATACCGAGGAGGAAGTGGAGCTGTGAGTGCCTCGCAGAGTGGGGGAGAGGTTGGACAGCATACGTTTATGTATGAGTTTTGCCAGTTGTTATTTTCTCCTTTGTTTTAAAGAAGAGGGGGTGTTAAGTGGGAGGTGTGGAGCGGCGTGATTTTAATTTTTATTTCGTGGAATTACGGTGGCAGGATTTATTTGGGTGATCTTCATTCATATCTTCAGTCTATCTGTGTGATGGGAAAGTGGTATATTCGCTGGTCTGTGTCGGAGAATGATAAACGCCTTGCTATTATTCTCTCTTTCGCTTCGTTTCCTCCGTTGACTGTTGACTACCTGGCGACACCTCTCCACTACTCTGAATAATAGCGTACCCAAGGAACAGGCCACCTCTCCTCTAAGGTGTCTGGAGTAGATATCATGCATTCCTCAATAGTAAATTTTCTTCAAACGGAAAAGGAGCACTCTCGGTTTCAAAGATTAGCTATGCTGGAAGTACTCTAGAATCTAGAAAGACACAATACCTTCATATCATTTCTTATTTCCCAACTTTTTAATTTCAGCTAATCATACATCAAGTAGATAAAAAAATATGTGCTAGCAAGCCTTAAGCACAGAGGTATAGAACGTACTTTTACCTTCCCATGTGCGCGCTCCAACCACCCGCACAAATTCCAATGGATATATCTAGGGGATGATGCGGGGGGGATTTATGAGCAAAACATTTTTATATATATATTAAAAAAAGGAAAAAGAAAGATAGAGGCACCTAAAAAACAAAATATTCCTGCGTTAATGGTAGCCGTGCAGACGGCTCGGCCTCACAAATCATCCCATCCGCTTCGACAACCTATTTGCAAGAAGAGCAGAAAAGGAAGGTTTTATGTTAGCAGAAGTCCTCCTCGTCCTTACAGTGATAATAGTTCTGTTGCAGACAGCGCGCCCTACATTGGCAGGACAACCCCTAGCGTGGAGGCGAATGTAGAAGGGGTAAGGGAATTAAAAAAGAAAAAAGAAACTTACATAGCTCTCTGGATCAACTCTCATTTTCGGCATCACATCGTTGAATTTCATATCCTTCTTGCTTATATTTCGACAGTTCCGTACTGCTTCTACGCGCTTCTTGATCCCGTACGAATCAATTATGCCTAGGTTTTGTGATGCTTGGGAGACGAACATTATGGAGGTTCTAGGGACACGGCTCTGTGGGTAGATTTATTAGTGATCGAGCTAAAGCAGGGGGAAAAAATAGGGCGTTTTAGGGAATAGAGAACTCGAGACTAGACTCACCGCATACATCCTGCTCATCACCATGGGTTCAATCGTTGATATCGATCCGTTCGAGTCACCCTGTTTAAAGCCCCCTATTAGCTCTCACATCGATCACCAAGAGGCACTTCGGTTTTCCCAAGAATGTATTTCTCGCGTTAACATACCACCATCGCCATAGCAATCATACCAGACTTTATCACCATACTGGGTTTCGTCCCGAAATTCGCAAACTTCCACATAACAAGATCCGCAACTTTTCCCACCTCAACACTGCCAATGAGGTGGGACATTCCCTGCGCGATTGCCGGGTTAATTGTGTACTTGCTGATATATCTCTTTACTCTAAAATTATCCGCGCCTGTTCCTTCGTCTTCTTTTAAGGTACCACGCTGCAGTTTGTTCTTGTGTGCCGTGTTCCACGTTCGAAGGACCACCTCGCCGCAGCGACCCATAGCCTGGGAATCCGAGGACATCATGCTGATGGCGCCTAGGTCATGCAGCACGTCTTCCGCAGCAATTGTCTCGGCGCGAATACGGCTCTCGGCGAATGCGACGTCCTCGCGAATGTTTTTGGAAAGATGATGGCACACCATGACCATGTCGAGGTGCTCGTCGAGAGTATTTAAAGTGAATGGGCGCGTGGGGTTGGTGCTGCTTGGTAGGACGTTGGGGTGCTTGACGACTGAGATGATATCCGGCGCATGACCACCTCCTGCTCCCTCGGTATGGTAGGTGTGGATAACGCGATCCTTGAATGCTTGGATTGATTGTTCAACGAAGCCAGATTCGTTAAGTGTGTCGGTGTGGATGAGGCATTGCACGTCATACTCATCGCAAACTGAAAGGCACGTATCGATTGCTGCGGGAGTGCAGCCCCAATCTTCATGAAGTTTCAGACCTGCTGCTCCAGCACGAATCTGCTCTCTCAGACTTTGGGGCTGACTATCATTCCCTTTACCAGTGATCCCAAAATTCATTGGGAAGTCGTCGCAGGCCTGGATCATATTCTTCATATGATTTGGCCCTGGCGTACATGTCGTTGCATTTGTTCCAGTACTGGGGCCTGTGCCTCCGCCCAACATCGTGGTGATACCTGAGGCCAGAGCCTCATCCACCTGGTCAGGGGTGATAAAATGAATATGAGTATCCACGCCACCAGCGGTAACTATTTTCCTTTCTCCAGAAATTACATCGGTACCGGCTCCAACAATCATCTTCGGATGGACACCATCCATAATGTCCGGGTTCCCAGCTTTTCCGATACCCACAATATTCCCCTCCTTGATGCCAATATCGGCAACATAGATCCCGCTCCAATCGATAATCAGTGCGTTCGTAATAACGGTGTCCAACGCCTCATCCGAGCATCTTCCGGAAGCTTGGCCCATGCCTTCTCTCAATGTCTTGCCTCCTCCAAATGTACACTCATCCCCAAACGAAGTTAGGTCCCTCTCGACCTTTACCCATAGGTCGGTTGAGCCTAATCTGATAAGATCACCGGTGGTGGCACCGAACATGCGCAGGTACGATTCTCTATCCATGGAATGCGCGTTTATATGTGCCATATCGCCCGCTGGCTCAGGGGTATGTGCGAATCCCGCTTTTTGAAGCCGTTCAATAATTTCGTCTGCCTTGGTGATGTCTACTTTACCATTAGCCAGGAAACTACCACCCCGAATTTCCTTGTTTCCCCCAATCTCAACGAGAGTAACCGTTTTCGTGTCTCCCGGCTCGAACCGGATCGCTGTCCCTGCGGGGATATCAAGGCGGTAGCCATATGATTTGAGCCGATCAAAATCCAGATAAGGGTTGACCTCGATGAAATGGTAATGAGAGCCAACCTAAGGAATCTGTCTGTCAGCAAGTCTCGAAAATTTGCGCCGGTATGGGGAAACGGGATGGACAGAATATAACGAACTTGAATGGGTCTATCCCCCTTACTAGTTACTTTAAGAGACAGTCTTTTACGCCCCTCATTTAGTACAATTCTGGATTCCTTCACTGGAATAACTGCCCCTGGCATTTTCAGGGGGTGATAATCTTCTGGGTGGGGGTCTGGGAAGATATCCTTTGAAGGTACTGGCAAGAAACTGCCGTACAAGGCCTTTTCCAAATCACCGTCTTCGGTGCTAATGGGTTCGTGGATGGTTACGAGATACGTGCCAGTGGGGAAAGTACCCTCAACAAAGATCTCATGAAGGGTGGAGGTCACAGATGGAAGAACATGACGGCGTCCCAGCATCATCTTGCCAATGGCCATTAGATCGGCCACTGTGTGGTTCCCATCACGGATAAGCTGTAAGATGTCAGCTTTTAGGATCGTATGAAGGCATATTTATCATCATATCATCATATTAAATAAGACCCATACCTCTTGTATGTTAGATGCGATCAATGCCTAGAATTCTCTCCCAAGTTAGCATTGTTTGCAACTAACCATGTAATCAGTGACGAAAGCAAACAATATTTTAATAGGGGGCGTTTAATGCAGTATGAGAAAATTGAATACTACGGACCGTTGCCTCCGCATGATTCAGCCTAACTCCACGAGCCAGACGCCGCTGAGCAAGAAAGCCAACCTGGGAGATGGTGAGCTTGTCGAGCTGTTGTCAGGTAGAAAATGTCAGTCAGTATATACTTCGACTTCGATGAATGCAAGCAAAAAATGAAAAATAGATCAAGTCCATTGAGAAAATGATGTGTATCTCTAAACACAAGCCGCGAAGGTCTTTTGTTTAAAATTGCAAGAAACAACGATATTGAATTAAGTAAATTCCATCAAGAACATGAACAGAACCGGGAGACAGGAATAGCATCAAGAGTTACCTCTCTGGGAATTAGCTGCATCTCGTCAGCAAAGCTTGGAATCAATCAATCAATCAATGTCAATCAAGTGATTATTTAATCAAGCCCTGCCCCCTTGGCTTGCCGATTGTTCTCTCTATTTCTGTGTGCTCTAGAAGATCTTCACAGATTACTCTAGTTGCCGTCGCCGGCCGTCTAGCAACACGCACGCTATCCCTGTAGGTGAATTAGTTATAGAAAACGAACCAGCCACAGAGAGCAAGCTAGATATCAGCAATTGAGAAACCCTGCACTGGGTGGTGGGGTAGATAGCAGAATCACTGTATGTGTGTGGTGTGCTGATATCAGTTTACTATTGTAGTCATCAGTAGAAACGTGTCCCGAAATGCGAATGAAAAAGCAGGGCAGAAAGAAGCGGTAACTTAAGTTAACTATATAGTTAAACACTCTTGTCCTATAAGAGTAACTAACATAACCTTTTGACCCAATCACGCGCCCCGCACCGCGCACCCCCCACTCCATTCCAAGGTTCCCCATTGAGCCTTATCATGTCTTTTTTCGTATCTTATCCAGAATGCCGAAATCTCGGCTCCACTTCCACAGAGCCGGGCCGAAGAAAAACGCAGAGTTAACACAGACAACTTAACTACCTGCTCAACGCATTTTCATTACTTCATTAAATTTAAATTATTGGGGTAAAGCAATCTGATGTCATTGAGATTTTCAAACTTGTTCAATTATTTCTTTTTACTTCAGAGAGGGGATAATGGAATATCTATCTCTAACTATTAGTCGCCCTCCCACCTGCCAGCACTACTTAAGAGATTACTGCATGTATTCATGTCTTGTCTTCAGGAGTGGCACTTTCTTCTCTCAATCTACATCAAGAGGTTGAGGTGGTGTTCTTGATTGCATAACTATTTTCACTAACACTAGTTTTCCCGGATCAATCATTATTTGAAGATGATTCAGGCCTGCAGTCAATTGCGTGAGAAGAGCAGCATTGTCATACAAACTGAGATAGGAGTAGAGCTGCAATTACATATAACTAAATTCTTAGGAAAATGTGTTAAGAATTTCTGCATGAGTGGTAATATGTAAGTTAAACACAGCTGTAGTATGAGAGCCGCGCAGGTACCGGTGGCAGGCTACTTCAAGCATCCCAATGGTCAAGAGAAGTCAAACTAAAGGCAGTAAACCTCTCAGTCCAAAATGCCAGCGTCCGCTAAATCTAGTCATAACCTAGTTAACTCAGAGACAGATGTGGCTTCACCACCTGTCAACAGCACTAAACTCCTAACCCTGGCTCCCATGAACATCAACAATGAAAGGATGGTAATAAGTCTCCTCGTGAGCAGGTATTCAGGCTTGAAAGTAATTTCCTATCTTCGCCTTGGAAGGACATGACGTGGCAATCTGAAGAGACATTCTGTACTGTAGGTGGCGGAGTACCGTTACCCCCTACATTCTACATGTCAATCCCTCCCCCCCCGGGGCAGCTCATTATTCCACAATAATTCCCGACTTTGCTATGGACAATCCTTTAGATCGGATCAATCATCCATGGGAAAAATAGTCCTAACTCGGCAGTAAACAAGTAAACCAACCAAAACACCCTTATGCATATACCATGCGGCTTCTCCTGGCCTGTGGAAAGTGTATTGGATTCTCCCCACCCAAACGGCTGTGAAGAAGACATCCCTTCCATACCTCACGCCCGTTTAAACCCCCATGGGGGTAAACAATCTTAGCAAAAGCTGATTGCGAGATTATCCTAATTGTCGACCAGCTTGGGCGCCCACCGGATATCAGAGTAATTCGATACAGCCGTTGTTCTCCGTAGTGCTTCACCGCATCAATTCAGATGTAACCTCAGCCCAGCCTTCTTAGCAAATAAAATCCATCCATCACAAAATACACTGCTTAAGAGAGTATCTGGTTATTCAGCCACGGATCCTCAAGAAGCTCCTTGGCTGTCTTCCTATCCTCCGGCCGCCACTGAAGCATCCCTCTCATAAACGCCAGGAACATCTCCTTATTCCTTCCTTCGAGAAACTCCTCCGACGCTTCTAAGCTTGCGTGCTGCGGTATCGGTATCACTATACCGTCTTGCTTCCACTGTCCTGTAAGTAAAAGTTTCTTTTGTATTAGCACACTATTTTCATTTTTGCTAGAGGGTATTTTAGTTTAGGCTAGAAGGGAGGAAGAAAGAGAACATAGTACCATCCTCTGTAAAAAATTCGCTGCTCCTATTCCCTCGATTGAGCAGGTCTAAAGGAGGCGGGCCCAGGAGGCTAATTACCTCCGCGAGATGCGTACGTGTTGAATACGTGCCGTCAGAATCTTTACCACGGAAAACGTGCTTGCCCTCAAACAAATGCCAGGCCTATTTCCCCCCCCCATCACTAGTTAGTGATAAAAAAGCGTGAAGTAAGTGGAAGGAGAATCATTTGGGGGAAACCCCCTCTCCACTACTCAAAAAAAAAAAAAAAAAAAAAAAAAAAAGCAAAATAGATAAATAAAACTAAAACAAAAAATAAAGAAAGAAAAACGAATTACCATGAGGCCAACATTCCAAATATCAATCGGGTAGCTCCAGTCAGCTTTCAACATCACTTCTGGCGATTTGAAAAAATTAGGCTGCGCATCATGATTTCTCCTCTCATCGCCTTGCACCGCAGAACCAAAGTCACTCAGAACTGCGCGACCAAATGTCTTTGGCAATTCCAAACGCCGAGAAGCATACACTGGTACACCTCTGACAAATTTCCGAGGCGAAGGGTTCTCCATTTCAGAGTTCATAAAGCTTTCAAGAATCGACTTGTCCTCGATTTCCTGAAGTATGTTATCGGCCTTGATGTCTAGGTAAATCAAAAAAGCTTTCATGATTAGGAACAATTCCTTTCTTTCTTTCCTTTTTTTGGTAAGGAAACTGGAAGAAGTTCTTCTAACCCGTATGAACAAGCTTGCATTCAGTATGCAGATAGTCAAGCGCAAGAAACACCTGTATTAGACCAAACCTGAGTAGATTTTCAGTAAATCGGTGGCTTGGGTGGCGATACAGGAGATCTCTAAAACTCTCCCACATCGGCTTCTGGACAAGACAATGATGGTCCCCTCCGGGACGAGGGATGGTGAAGATATCCAGAGCTGTCCTCACATGGGGATAGCCAGGATGTGATGGATTCCCTTGGCTTAGATACTTATAGACCTGAAACTCTTCCTGACTAGCTTCGTTGCGTGTATACACTTTCAGTGTCACATACTGGTGTCCTCTGCGTGAATCAGCCCGACGTCCAAGTCTTGAAATACCGATAAACCATGGCTGACTTACGCGAGATCACGAGCGAGCCATACTGTGGAAGTCATGCCAAATCCCAGCTTGCCAATGACCTGGTATTTCGAACTAAACACGTCACCAATATTGACAGGATAATACCGCCCTTTCTTGAAATCTTCAAATCTTTCCTCATCGAGTATTCTAGATGCATTGATAGTTTCAAACCCGGTGGCCGGAAAGCGTATATGGGGCGAGGGAGCTCTTCGAAAGGTACTTTTCGCCCATTCCAGGAGAGAAGCCATTTTGAGGGCACGGAGAAATACTGTGGCCAAGGAAGAATGAAGTGAGTGAAGGCGGTTGGTCACTGTTCGCAAGGTTGTAAGGGAGCGGATGGGTGGTCACTCTCCTTGTCTGGAACTTTAGCCGCCTAGCTCCCAGGCGAACCCTACTAAGCGCGCTACTCGCCAATCATCTTTCATAAGGGCGCGGACCCGCCAGCCGGTTGGTTTCAAGATAGAATCAGGCTTCGACATGTTTTATTGGAGGCCCCTTCGGGAGTGATGCCAAAAATGCCATGTATGGCCCACAATAGTGGGAAAGGCTAGGGCACTAAAACTTACAGGAACCGTGGTTTACCGATCTTTGCTGGCTCCTGAGTCCTGAGCGATGAAACGTGCCAGCCGCAATGTTCGGCACCCAGACATATCCAGACGATCTGCCATATTTTTATGAAGATGGGAGTGGCACCACGAAGAAGGATGATACAAAGTGTTGACTATTGTAAATTTCATTGATACTGGGGTGTTGCCGGTGATGTTGTTTTGTCTAGTTGAACTATTTGTTACATTATATTTTTGTTGCGCTTTCAAAAGAATTTTTAGAAAGAGCGTCAACACGGCGGTGATCCGCAGCTTCAACACCCCGTTCTAACCTGGAATCGCCTTGCGCCCTGGTGTCAAGCTGCGCCTCCTAGCCATTAACAACTGTCAAGACTAGAACTATAAGACGATTCGGGCAATCAACCTTCCAAAGCACCTTTTGTCTTAAAGCTGGTTGGCTCACCCAAACTAAAACAAACCCCACCAGCAACGCCGACATACCCCACCCCCAGCAAGTCAGCTCAAAGTTGTATGTATACTGGTAGGTACACATACTCCGTGCAGCAAAATCAATAACCATCAACACCGATTACAGATGTAAATAAAAAGAGAGAAAAAAGAACATAAGAAGAAAACCACATCTCAATTTCAAAAACTCACATCAAAAAAACTCACAATAACGAAATTTCCTACACTACATAAAAGTGACAAGCAAAGAAACAATAAAACATAAGACAAATGAAACAAAGGGAACAAAAAGAAGAACAAACACCCACAACTATGAACATCACAACAATTTGAAAACAAAACAAAACAAAACTCGAAAAATAGTAAGCCCGCGACAGCCCGATCAGCCAACCAAACCAAAATCAACCTAATTCATTCATTCAATCAATCAATCCCCCGCCTCACTCTTGCGCTTCTTCTTCCCCCCCTTCCCCTTCGGCGTCTCAGTCGCTGCGGCCGCCACAGCACCACGCTTCAGTTTCCCACTTCCAGTAAGCGCAGCAGCAGCCTCCTCCCTCTCCTTATCCCTCTTTGCAGCAGCACCCCTCATCTTCTTCTCCGGCGACGCCTTCTTCGTGCTCGCGCTCAGAGGAGTCGCAGGTTTCACATCAGCAGCCGCAGCACCGCCAGTAGTCCTCCGCCGCTTCGTCCGTGGAGGCGTAGGTTCCCGCACAGGTTCTGGGGACGATTCTTCTTCTTCTTCCTCCTCCTCCTCCTCTTCTTCAGATTCCTGTTCAGATCCTTCAGATGAAGCCTCTTCCTCGCCGGCCGCGGCGTGGTGGACTCCCTGTTGCAATTGCATGGCGGCAGCCACATTAGCGTTGACCGCAGCGCCTGTCGCATACCCATCTTCAGGAATAGGCAGGCCGGCTTTATATGCGCGCATTTTCTCCTGGTACACTGCTAGATTTTCCGCGTATAGTTTTTTCCAGATCTAGGGGAGGGCATGGTTATTAGTAAAATTGGACAAATTGTAGTAGTAGTATAGTAGTAAAGAAGGGAGGGCTATAAATACCTGCTTCTCATGATCAGGCATCTCAGCCCAGCGCTTCGTCCCTTCATCAGCAACCTCCTTCGGTCTCGCGTTCTCACCTAGCTCCTCTGCAATCGTTGCACGGTTATGTTGCATATAGAGGAAATAAGGGGTCAAAGCACGCTTAGGCGCATTGGGATCATGCGGGGCGCGCTTGCGCTTCTTCTTGCCTCCAGTGGTATCTACACCACCGGGACCGCGGGCAACACCCGCAATGCCACCGCCTGGACTAAGAACACGGGCGCCGCTGAGTAAGCCATTCTCCAGCAGACTAGAGGTGATGCCACCCAGGTCGAGAGTAGACGGGCCACGGTTCAGCACTGTGTTGGCATGGTTGATGTACGCGCGCGATAGATCTGACACGGCTGATTGGAGTGTTGCGAGGGAGACGATAACCTGGATGTATGTTAGAGCTGTATTATTTATTGGGTCTGTGGCAGCGGCGATGAGCTCGTCGCAGGCGACGGAGATGGGGCGAATGGTGCGCGCGATAGAGTCCAGGAAGGCCTTTGTGGTGGTGGAGAGGGGAGGAGATTGGGAGCCGGAGTAGGAGTGAGGGTGAGGGTGAGGGGGGGTGGCGGGGGTGGTGCCACGTGAAGAAGACATTGAGGGGAGGGTTGGTGAGTGGTGGATCTTTTTTGGTGTTGGCAGTTTTGGGTAGGTACAGCGTGGGCGGCGAGAGTGAAAGCAATGGGGGATTAATGGGGGGATAGGGATGGGGATGGGTGAGAGGAAACGCGTGGCGCTAGTAGTGAGATCACTAAGAAGCGGTAGAGGGGTATACAAAACATAACGGGAGGTTGAGGGAGAGGGGGGGAGAGGGGATTTGTTATGATTATAGGTAAAGGGAGGGTGATGCGCGGAGGGTTTGGTGTTTGTTTTGATTTGGCGGATTTGGGTACAGGCGCAGGGACGCGCTCTTTTTGTTGGGATAGTGGGAGGAGGAACAAAAAAAGCACCAGCATCACCAGAAGGACGGGTTAACTTACACTGTCGCGTGTCCTGGTGAAATCATCAATGTTGACAGTCACAATAGCAGTGCTATCTTTGGCCTTGTCATCTTTCCGCGACATCTTGGATGTGTGTGTGGAATAGGCTGTGAATACTAGGGAATGGACAAAGGGGGTTGGGCAAGGGGATGTAGGTAAGCAGAAATGGTTAAGAGTGATCTTGGTGGCAAGATATGGTATATAATGGAGCCAAGAAGAAGAGGAGAAGTGTTTGAATAACTACTTGCTCTAAGCTGTATTTTTGCCCCGTTCGGGATGCAGCTAGTAGAAAGAGAATGGAAGGAGGGCAAGAAGGAGTGACAGTGTTCAGTAAAAAAAGAAGAGAAAAAAGAGAAAAGAGAGGTGCCTGAAGGGGGAATGCTGGCACCTAAATAAGAATAAATCCCTCAGCGCCCGGGGGGACTCTCGCCTGGGGAAACGCTAGGCGCTTCGAGACAGGCACACACACACCGCAATAATAATTACTGCGTAAATTGTTGTTAATATTATTATTATTATTAGTATTATTGGAACTGGAAAAACGCACAACAGCCCTTAACAGGCTAGGCGGATTTTTTAACTAACCCACCACGTCAAACCCAGCGCTGCTTTTAGGCGGGGCGTGGGACGATCTCCCGTAGCCTGATAGCCCTGGGTAGGCCGCAGCGCGTCTGGTGGCCCAGCGGTGGGCTGCTGTTGGCTACCACTTGGCCCGCGGCGGAGGGATGCCGCTCCTCACCGCAGCGCAGCGTGCTTCTGCAGGCTCTTCAACCGTGGACCGTGGACCAGGAGTCACTTCCTTAAGTTGTTCCCCCCCCGGGCGCCTCAAGCTTCCCCCCCCCCACACCCCGGCACAACTTGCCCATAATCCATTATCATTCCCTAGCCCTAGTGTGGCCGCTATATGTCTCACTCGCCAGAGGGAGAACTAGAGGCTTTACGCCCACTCCACACGCTCCCCCTAAATACTTCCACGCACTCTTAACCATATCCTACAGGCCATTTTAGTTGTTTTAACAATACGGAGTAAAGGTGTTTACACTTTTCAGCGCCTGCATCGGCGTTGTTAAGATGGTCCCCGCCCCGCAGAGCCCTTTGAACCTGGGAAATATAGCCCACCCTTACATTTTCTGCAAGGGTAGAGTTTGCTGGCGCAGCAGATTGCTGGGCTGTTGGTGAGCCTTGCCTCATAATCTTCATTAAGCATTCCACGAATGGCTCTGTTATCATCCCTAAGTATGACCCAACTGCTACAGAAAATACTATTGTTAACTACAAGCATCAAATGCTCGCTTACGCTCGCTTTGCTGCTTGCGCAGCCCCCCCTACCACTTCCACCCCCTACCCCTACCCCTCTCTTACCACCCCTTCCACCCCTTCCACCCCCTACCTCCTCTACCACCACCGCCTCTACTGCCCTGCAGCCCCCCTATCGCTTCCACTCCCCACTTCTATCACCTCTTCTGCTCTCTACTCCCTCTACCACCCCTACCACCCTCTTCCACCCTGTATCACCTCTATCACCATTATCAGATTAATCAGAGCAGTACAGGTCACAGAGCTGGCTGTTCAATCTCATTCATGAATTCGAAGAGATGCACATGACATCACATGAGATCATGCTACAGAGCATTTAGCAGTGTGTGTCATGAACACAGAGATCAAAAATGAATATAGAGAAAACTCAGAAGAGTATAAGAAGTGTAAATACTGTAGAGAATGTATGAAAAAAACAGAATGAATAAAAGAATGAAGATTTGAAGATTGATCTGAGCTGTATGAGCTGAAGAGCAGAGCTGAGCTGAGTAAATATTTTTGATGAGATGCATATAATGTCATATTACAGTGTTTTTTGCATGAAAAAGTTGGTTTTTCTATAACAAAGAGAGAGATATATAATATAATGTAGCTAGCATATGTAATATAATGTAGCTAGCTTCTCTGATCTCTCTATTTATGATAGAAAATTCAACTTTTTCATGCAAAAAACACTGTAATATGATCTCATGTGATGTCATGTGGATTTCTTTGAATTCATGAGATTGAATGGCTGGCTCTGCGGCCTGTATGATTAATCTGATGATGGTGATAGATGTGGTAGAGGTAGTAAGAAAGGGGTAGAGATAGTTAGTAGTAGATGGTGGTAGAGAGGGCAAGCAATTGCTAGGACAATGCCACTGGGCGTGTGCCACTACATATTTTGTTGGGGGTCCCGGGTTGATCGGCCCTTCTACCAGCAGTGCGTTGGTGGTGACTGAGCTCTTTTGCCCCAGTAACTTAGCCTTTAAGCGTTCAAACAGAAAAAGGCCGATTGTACCATACACCCTTGTCTTGTGCCTTGCGGCCCAGTATCTGCCCCTCCCACTCAAAGAAGCGCTTGCATGCTTACTTTTCTACCGTCCCCCCATTTACCCAGAGCCTGCCTATAGTTTCTCTCCAGCGGGTGACCAATGTAATCTTCACTGCCCCAGCTATCAAGTCACCCTTGCCCACCTCTACAGCCTTCTCATCACCAACGTGCTCTCTGTTCCTTCAATCATCTACTGCTGATGTCCCCATTCCATCCTTTTCTACTTGTTCGATGTATTTCAGGGCGAAGATGGTGCGTCGATGCAGCACACCGTCACCTGTCGTCAGTGAAACAACAGCGAGGAAGACAAGATGGATGTGGACGACAATGATGGTGGCAGTTATCATAGCGACAGCACGGCGACCGACCCAGCCGATTACAACAAACAAGGCAAGAATAACACTCATGATCTGGCTGGTCTGCTGGCTGACAATGAGCACCCTCCAGAGTATTATATGAAGATGCTGAACAGTGGCAACAAATCCCTACTTCAGTACAATGAATACACAGATAACTCTCCGAAGCTGCTCAGTCACATTGAGCAGGAATGATTCCAGTGAGTGTTTTGAGAGTCATGTTTGCTGACTCTCATCTCTTAAAGTTGCAACTTCTCTCTCTGGAGTTCTTATCATGTAACATAATCAACCACCTAACACTCATTTCCACCTAACACTCGCTTTTGTAAATCAATTACAATCAACTTTAAATGTTAATATCTCAATAAATATTCATTATTTTAATTCTTTAGTTTGTAATCTATAAATATCAAGACTTATAGTATAATATGTGGAAGGTGTAAAGCTTGTGTGATTGAAAGGTTGCTAGCTTTGTGGAAAGTTATATGGTGGAAGGATTAGTAAGCCAGATCACGTGATCTGACACCCCCACTCACCAGAGTAACTATACACGATGCTATATACAAAATTCGCCTTCAAATCAAGTACAGGTACAAAAAATGACTGGAAAATGTGAAGTAATGAAAAACCAGTCATGATATACATCATTTTTTATCCCCCTATCCCTTCATCTTCATAATCTCCTTCCAACGCGTATATTTCAAACAGTTGACCTCTTTAACACAGGCCTTGTAATAATACTTCCATTCCATGGAAGCTTTGGCGCGCGTGAGGTTTTTCGGGATCAGAAGTGCAGCGATCTCGGGATCGGTGGGTAGGTCTTCAAGACTGTCCCCCACTGAAGATTCCCCCACTGTTGATTCAACTGTGGGTTCCGGGGAGTTCAGTGTATTCTGCACTAAAAGGGTAGGTATTCTCGCGGAGATATCATAGTCAATCCACCAATTATTAGTGAGTACGAGAAATAATGGACACTCAGGTTGAATTTCCTCATCAATGAATAGATTATCAATTGATGGATCAGGAATCGCTGCAGTCTCTTTATGGGCCGCAGTCAGTAGGCCTGGTGTCACTGAAGGAATCGCCGCAGCCGCTTTGCAGGCTGCATTGGGTATGACCTTCAGGTTGTGTGGAGTAGTCGGTATCGATGAATCAGCAAGATGGAGGTCCTCCTGGAAGATGACGTCTTTTGATATGTATAAACGCCCGTTGGAGGGATCCTTGTGAGGTTCCACAAAACAGGCTGACACATTGATAACCTCTGCGAGGTTTGTCATCTGAAAGGTCTCTGAATCATCTGTAATGAATAGTTGAGTCCCACCCTCACTATTGTTCTTTTTCTTCTTTTCTTTGAATTCCTTTATCCTCGCAGCGTTGTAGATCCTCCAATTATCTGGAGCACTGTCTGGATTGGCCAATCAACAGTTGCCAAAGTGAGATCTCTCACATTCAGGACATGTAGGTGGGTTTCCCGATCCCCCTTGAGTACTACCACAACCACGTCCAGTACGGCCTCCACGGGCTGAATTCGATGTATTGTTGTTAGAATTGGTAGATGTAGTGGTCGTTGTATCTGTTGTAGCTGTCGTAGCTGTGTTGGCCGCAGAATCTATATTCTGCAGATTCTTTTTATCTTTTGGAGGATCAAGCCGCGAACAGATTTCCTTCATGAGAAGATCAACATCCAATACCACAGCTGTGGATTTGAAATCCTGTATCTCCTCTACCTTCTTCTGAACATAATTCCTCCAATTGTTGGGTAGGACTGAGTAGAAGGTATCAAATATCCACACATCTGAGGGGGAAGCATCCACCATCTCCAATTTCATGATGGCGGACCAGAACTTATTGAAGAATGTGTGTAGATTGGTGACCTGTGTGCCACCAAGAGACATGAATTCCAGAACTGCCTCACAGTGTAACTGTGTTTTAGGGACAGAGTATTCCTGTTTAATCGCATTCCATAGAGTATAAGTGATCTGATTTTCATCATACTTGAAGAAACATGATCTGACACCTGCATCCAAGGAGTTTGAGATGAATGTGTAGAGTCACTGGTTTCTGGTGTCCCAGAATAATGCTCATTCATCATCTCTTTGTAGAGGGTTCTGAGTCTGTCATTTCTCTATCATATACTAACACTGTGCATCAACCAGTTTCAATTTCATGAAGATGCTTCATGTGATGTAATTGAATGTGTCAGTCAGACTGTTTGATCTCACAGTATTCTTGACATCTTTCTTGAATTGAGAGATTGTCTTGTCAACATGACTATTCAGTGCATAAAGATTGAATTTCAATCTTTCATCAAGATTAGAATTTCATGTAGCTGTTGATATAATGATAGAATGATTGTTGACATTCTGTGATTGATCTGTGAAGAATGAGAATCTCTGTTGATAGAGTTTTTTCAGTTATAGTTCAAGTTCTAAGACTCTTTGCTTTCTCTTATTCATCTCAAGCATTATCTTGAGATGCTTTATCTGTTGATCTGATATTGCCTTGTCTGAACAGTAGATATCTGAGTATTCAATATTCTTATCAAGAGAACCAGCTTTATCAAGCTGTTGAGTAGATCAGAGGGTCAGCCTGATCATATCAGAAGCTGTATTTAAATCAGCTTTGAATTAAGAGAGTGTTATGAAGTGTTCTTCAATAAAGCTTTTAAAGACTTCAGAAGAATGTTCACTGACAGAGTATAAGTGTGAAGAATCATCATCAACTTCAACTGATTCAGTGAAAAGAACATGAGATTATGATCATGTATATGAGTGAGATTGTATTGAATCCATCATCTTGATATTTGTTTATTGAATTCTTGTCAATATTATTCTCTTTTTCTTGCTTTTTTGCAAATGTGATGCATTTTCTGCAAGTCTCTTTTTTTTAAGTGAGCAGTAGTATTATTGATTATCAAGATCTCAAACACATCAATACTGATAGAATAAGATGATTTTAACTTCTGATGAGTGTATCAAATGAAGCAGTAGTTCAAATAGATTATATTGACAAGGAATTCTGAATTGACAGTAATTTTTGCACAAAACAGGTCTCATAACCTGTGAAAGATGTAAAGCTTGTATGATTGAAAGATTGCTAGCTTTGTGAAAAGTTATATGATGAAAGGATTAGTAAGCCAGATCACGTGACCTGACATAATATAATTCAAAGTTATTATAATATAGTTAAAATTGATTAAAATATAAATTCAATTACAAAATAAAATACAGTAAAATAAAATATATAATATTTTATTATAAATTAAGAAATATATATTATATATTATTAAAAATAATAATTCTTATATAAATATATTATAATTTAATAAATATTAAATTATTTTATATAAAAATTGTATATTTTAATTTTTAAGAATTTTTTGATTTTTTAATTATAATTTTTTTGATAAATTACAAGTAAAATATTGAAAATTCTTGAAATTTTAAATTTTGAAAAATAATTTATTAAATATAAATATAGTTTAATAATTTAATATAATAATTTATTTAAATTACAATTTTAAAGTATAAATATATTTATAAATATAGACTGTGTATTTTATTTTAAATTAGTATTTTAAAAAGCTTAATAAATTAATAATTATATGTTATTTTCTCATAGAAATTTAATAAAATATAATATATATCTACAAATTATCATTCTGTTTTTTAGAATACTTTTAAATAAATATTCATTGAGATATGAATATTTGAAGTTGATTGTAATTAATTTACAAAGGTGAGTGTTAGATGAAAACAAGCATTAGATGATTGATTATATTAACATGACTTATCACTTAACAAACTCATTCACTCAACAAACTTCAAAAAGCACTCTATAGAGCTGTTAATTTTCAACTATAGTACAACAATGAAATAAGATATTAATATTATTTATTAAAGATTAAAACTATATACAGAATATATTATATAAATATATATAATTAATTCAGAGAATGATTGCTTAATCTAGACTGACTGTGTAACTGTGTCTGTGATTAGAACCAGAATATTTAATGATCTTATAATCAATTCAACTAATTTCATTACACAGTTTTAATATTAAATAGTAGTCTTATACTGTCTCAGTGAGACTTACTGTCTACTCTTATCACATTTTTCAAATGAGATCATGATTTTCACTTCTTAATTTAAATTATTTTTATTACTTTAAATGACTTTAAATCTTATTTAAGTATTATCAAAAAGTTACTTTTTAAAAAATTAAAAATAGTCTAAAAAAAACCTTAAAATGTCTAAAAATAGTAACTTTACATTAAGAATGAGACTAAATAAGATCAAATAAAATCACTTTCTTATTTTTTCTAAGTCATGATTTTATTTTGAGATCTGATATATAGTTACTTTTAGACTGACCGTGTGACCGTGTCTGAGACCAGAATCAGATTTTTTAATAGTCTCATTATCAATTTAACTGATCTCATTACACAGTTTTAACATTAGATAGTAGTTTCATACTGTCTCAGTGAGACTTACTGTCTACACTTGTCACATTTTTCAAATGAGACCATGATTTTCACTTCTCAATTTAAATTATTTTTATTGCTTTAAATAACTTTAAATCTCATTTAAGTGTTATCAAAAAGTGTTACTTTTTAAAAAATTAAAAATAGTCTAAAAAAACCTTAAAATGTCTAAAAATAGTAACTTTATGCCAAGAATGAAACTAAATGAAATCAAATGAGATCACTTTCTCATTTTTTTCAAGTCATGGTTTCATTTTAAGATCTGATATATAGTCACTTTATCTGTTTTTTTGATAGCCAGTCCCAGCGGGATTCACGCCAAGAAATGTATGAGATCAGACCAAATGAGATCAAACATGAAATTCATGGTCTCAGCGGCCAGTCTAGTCACTTTGCATATTTTTTTAATGATTAGTCTCAGTGAGATTAATGCTAAGAAATGTATGAAATCAGATTAAATGAGATTAAATGTGAAATTCATGATTCTGATAATCAGTTTAGCTTGATCTAATAATCTGCCTGAAACATGAAACTCATGATTTTGAAATGATTGAATCGGATCACAGTGTAGAAGATGTTAGAGAAGAAATATCATTTGATTTCATCAGAGAAATCTGTGTGTAATACTTATTACTGCTTTCAGAAGATTGTATAGAACTTCTACAGTGTTTTAAGCTCACTATTAATCTTCTTGTAGATCTCTTTAAGATCTCTGTGAACATCTGCTTTATTAACTGTGCTTCATGATATTTAGCAGCATGTTCTTTCTTCTCTTTTTACACTTAAAGCTTCTATTCATCTCACTGTTATTTCTCTATAAGATATTTAGCTACAGCTGTAGCTTTGATCTTCTTATAATATTGAGCAGCTTCTAATCATTTTTTCTTATATTATTTCTTTTACTTCATGAGCTCTATCTGCTTTTACTCATAAAGAATTACTTATTAAAGTTTTATATTCTTCTTATGTATCTGATCATTGATTTTTACAGCTTTATTAGCATCTGCTTACTCTCTTACAGTCTGCATCTTAATAAGAGAAAAGAATTAAGTAAGTGTGGCGTGCTTCCGCCCTCTATTCAAGTCAATTCTCTATTCAGCTCTAGCTTCCGCTTCATCTCTTGCTATTTCCTGAAGCTTTCACTCCTACCTTCTCCCTCTGCTCTTTTCTTCATATGTGATCACTTCTTCTATGAGAGCTTTCACTTCTTCTCTACAGAGTCTTCATTCTTTTCTTCATATGCAATCACTTCTTCTATGAGAGCATTCACTTCTTCTCTACAGAGTCTCTGTTCTTCTCTTCATAGATGATCACTCTTTCTACAAGAGTTAATCTCTATAAAATAATCACTGTATATATAAGAGTGTACACCCATCTCTCATCTTTTAGAGAATAAGACAAGTTTTTACTCTTATATCTGACTCTACATAGTGATGTATGCTACAATTTAGTAGCATGTCTTATTAAGAATCAAGTTCTTCTAGCCTCTTTAACTTTCACTTCATTCTTGATATACATAGCACTGGTGATTGAACCGGGCTGCAGATATCAAGAATTAACTAGTCAGTAATTAGTCTAATTAGTTACTCTATCTTCTTTCAACACTGCAGCTAGTGATTAATCTAGTCTGCAGTTGTTTAAATCTATTTCATTCAACACTACAGCTGATGATAGATCTGGCTAATGATTATTTAAGTATCTTTCACTTCAGAACACTATAGCACTAGTGATCAGTCTAGAACATGATCACAGTTGTAGTAAACTCATCTTCATATTCTTATACAACTTCATCAGTCTCATCACAATAATAAAATAGAACAGATAAATCACTCAGAGCAGCTCTCATCAGTCACTCTCTTCTAGACTGACCGTGTGACCGTGTCTGAGATCAGAATCAAACTTTACAGTTGTCATGTTATCTAAAAGCATTACTTCTGATCATGATTTGTATTCATCACATTGATTTCAAATCATATTATTTCAAATATTAAAGGTCTCAGATTCACTTTTCAAATAAAAGTCTAGTCTCAGATAAAGAATATATTTGAATTCTTAGTCACATTTTCATTCTGATCTCATTATTGAGAATGACATTAAATAAGATTATGAAATCACTTCTCACTTACATAATATCATAACATAGTGCTCATTTGTTGAAAATTCAACAGAGAATGTTATCAAATATTATTATCTTTCTGAATACAGATGATAATTCATATAATTTTAATTATGAAAAAAACATAAAATACAAAAAAAAAACAAAAAACAAAAAACAAAACAAATATAAGAAAAAATCACATTAAAAAAAAAAGAAAAGAAAAAGAAAAAAATAAAAAATAAAAACAAAAAAATAAAAAATAAAAATAAAAAAAATCAAGATCACAGAGCTGTAGTATCTCTAAAATACTTACTTCTCAGAGTCTTCATA